ATTTTGTTGTATTATTTAATAAATATATATTATCTGTTTAGTCTTTGACCAAACAGAATTTTATTTACGTAAAAAAAAATGCGTTTGCGAAACAATTTGAAAGAAATTTCTAAATCAAAATTTATAGTTGAAAGTGATTATAACTTTAGAACAGTATATTACAATAGTATACTTGTTCGTAGGAGTGAACGAAAAAGTAAAAATCCTGAATCAAAATATGTGTTTAAATATAAATATATCAAGAAAAAATATAAATCTTCGATTTGTTTAGATTCTATTTATCAGGGTGATTTAGAAGATTCAGATTGTTCAAATTCAATATATATAACTGATAATAGTTTTGTAGTTAAAGATGATTTAAAAAAATATTGTATCTTTTGCAACAAATTTTATTTTACATATCATGATTGTCCACATGATATTATATACGTATCTTCTCAAAATGAATTCGTTAAAGATAATGAGTTAAAATTTGAAAGAGAAAAAAGAAAAAAAGATTCTAATTATAAAAGAAAATACATAGTGAGTCAAAATGGTGTTGTTAATAATAATAATGGTATTGAGTTTAGTGATATAGAATTACAAATGAATGATTCAGATGATGAATTAATTCCTGAACAACAAGCATTAAATTTAGCATTAGAAAAAAATAATTCTTGTTATATTTAATCAGTCTTAAGACTGATTAAAATTTTAAATATGTAATTTAACAAAATGGTATCTGAATACGAAGCGGCAAAAAATCAGTATAATAGTTTATTTGAGTTTAATTCAAAATATTATACTTTTATTAATGTTTTGAATCAAATTGAAAGTCAAGGATCTACTATCGATACTAAAAAACCTATTAGTGAGATTAAACTTCAAATTGGTATCAATATCAATTTGATGCAACAGACTAAATTAATGATTGATAAATATGAAGATGAAAGAAGAGAATTTTTTTTGTGTTTTTTTAGTTTCAGATTCTAAAAAAATCTGGTTGAGTCATCGTAATAATCCTGACAAAGATTACTATGATTGTTATCAAGCAACAGGTGGTGCAAAAGAAAAAAATGAAACTTTTGAACAATGTGCTCTTAGAGAAGCTAAGGAAGAAACAAATATTGAATTAAATGAACTTGAATTTATTACTTTTCAAGAAGAATTTAGAGAATTTCCAGATGGAAAAACATGTTTGTATAAGACAGGAATTTATTATTCTATTATTGGTGATAAGATTCCTCAACAAACTGAACCAGAAAAAAATGATGAATGGCAACAATTTGAATTAAAAGATTTACAAAATCTTAAAGTAACTGGTTCTATTAAAACAAATTATGGACAAATTTCTGAGACTATTAACAAAAAATTTAGAAACAAAAAGAGACGTAGAATTGAGGTTGAAAGTCCAAAAATTGAAGATATAGAAAGTCCATTGCAGCAGTAAAAATTTAAAGAACCAATAGTTTATTTTTTTTATTTCTTTTTATTTTTATTGATTTTGTAATTTATTAAATAAATTAATCTAACTAGTTTTTGACCAGTTAGATTTTTAATTATATAATTTCGAAACTGAAGAATATAATAAAGATGAATATTAACAATCTACCAAATAAAATTTTAATTTTAATATTATACCATATCTTTCAAACAAAAATAACTCTATCCGATTTTCAACTACTCTATCAATCAAATTAGTTTGTAGAAGATGGTATAATTGTTATCTTTCATTATTCAAGAATCATGGAACCAAATATATTTTAACACATAATAAACATATAATTGAAGATTATACTCCTATTAAAAAATCAGAATATTATTTTAAAATTGATGATGGAGTGTTAGTTATAGAAATTAATAATTCAATACAAACAAGACTACAAACTTATGAAGAATATGAGCTTTTTAAAAAAGAATATAAACGATGTTTAGAAAAACAAATTCTTTTTAAGTATAGCATATGGTTTAAAGATAAAGTTGATTGTGAAGTATCAAATTGTAAAAGAAGAAATCGAAGTCATCATTGTCATGAGATTTGTAAGAAATGTTATGAAATTTATGAAATTTATTCTTTAAGTTTTGATGATTTGGTTTTTTTTTGTTAAACTTTTTAATTAAAGTTTAAGTCTAATCAGTTATTTAACTGATTAGAATTTTATTGATGTAATCTGAAAAAAGATTTATACATAATTTAAATGGAAGACGATTTTTTTCTTGATGATTCTGTATGGGAATATTTTCTTCAAAAATTAATTGAAGAGACTAATGATTTTGAATATTTTGTTCAAAAAATAGCTGGAGTATTTTGTTTATCAGCTGATAAAGTTAAAGTATATCAAAGCAATAATCGTACTGATATTATTGTGAAACATATCGATTCAAAACAGAAAAAATATTTTATTTATCTTAATTATGATAATGTAGAAATAAGTGTTAAATTTGGATTCCTTCTTAGAAAAGCTTTTTGTTGTTATTGCTAAAAGAAAAATTAAATTTTTTGATAGTATTTTTATTTAGTTTTATTCTAGCTAGTCTATTTGACTGGTTAGATTTTTAACTACATAATTCTGAAATGGCCGATAAGAAGGTGAATTATATTCATTTAATAATCATATTTGTGCACGCTGCTCTTCAGGCATCAGGAATTTGTTCTGGGAAGAAAATTTTTTAAAAAAAATTTCTTGAGGATAAATTTCATTTTTGCTAGGAACGCGAACATGTAGACGCCACAACTCATAGAGTGAAAAATATGGTTTATTAATTTTTTATTTTATTTTAGATATCAAATTGAGCAAAAGGTCATACTTTCGAAAGTGATCTTCATAAATTATTTAACCAGAATAGGATAATTGCCCATATAATTCAAGTTACTAAAGGAGATGGTGGATTAGATTTATTACTATCATATCAGGTAATCAAATATGTGTACAGTGTAAAGATAGAGAAAATGCTCTTACATTATCTATATTGAAAGAATTTGAATCCAC